ATTGCACGCCCGTTCAATTGTTACTGGTTTGCCTCCATAGTCATCTTTATGAAAGGATTCTTATCAAAAGTCATATCCCTTGAATATGTTCCTTGAATGTCCATGACCTGAAAAGAAAAAGGAATCTCATAAGTAAGAGAATGATTAATGATAAATAAGTGAAAGAAGTACTCCCTGTCTATATTTGTTGGATGGTCAAGAGTCATGTCTTTTGAAGACATATTGTCTTGAATGATCATATATCTTGGTACCCCAAAAGACATACTGTTTGGTTCCTAAAAAATCATGTCCATTGAATAATGAAAAAGTATAGCTTTTGGCACTTGAAAAAATAAATCTCTTAAGCTTCCATGGATCATGTCTCTTGGTTCCTTCATTTGACAAGTTGTGTCTTTTGAATCATCCTCCATGCTTGATGATGCTTTCCAAATGATATCTCTTGAGTATGTGGACAATGCTCGCATTATACTCTTGAAATGGTTTAATTCAATGCACCAATCAATCTCATAATGACAAAGAAACTTGTTATCAACTTTGGTAGGATAATACCATGTATATGAATTGATTTCCTGTAAATTAAATCAAAGTTAGAATATGAGAAATTATAAACAAAATGAATGGAAATATAAAACCAAGGTGGATGTTTAATGATGGAGAACTCCATTAGTTGTTGAATTCCCTTCAATATGTGCAATGTATTTGGAATGTCAACAGCTAGAACTCTTAGTACTTCCAGTGACACTTCCTTTGAAATATCAAGAGACATGTTTTATGGATCACCAAAACTCAAGCCTATTGGTTATTCAAAGGTCTCATCATTTAGTCCTCCAAAAGTCATGATTCTTGAATCATCTCCCCGAAAAGATACATCTCTTGGATTATCCTGTAAAACAATAGGAAGAATAGATGAAAGAGTAATGTTAGTTAAAATTTGTTCTACATCTCCTCTTTATCACCAAATTCATCTTTTTCAATTCTCTCATTTTCAACTCCAACGTCTCCTTCATCCACTCTCTTTTGTTCAACTTCAAAAAGCTTTTCTTCATTTGAATTTTCATTCAAACGTTCAAACTTCTCTTCATTTAAATTTTTCTCCAAACGTTCTCCTTCAATTGCATTGTCTTTAAGTTGTTCTTTCATTAATTCAATGCTTCTTTTCAAATGAATTTGATCTTCAGATACTTGGTTTGGTGAAAGTAGAGCCAACATGAATTTTCTTTCATTTTGAAAGAAGGAATACCGATTTGTGAAACCATCATGGACAACCTTCTTATCAAATTGCCAAGGCCTCCCTACAAGTATATGGCACACATTCATTGGAACAACTTCACAAAGAACTTGGTCTTGGTATTTTCCAATCGAAAAGGAGATATTGACTTGTTTGGTGACCTTAACTTCTCCCCCATCATTTAGCCATTGTAACTTGTATGGTGTAGGGTGTTTAATCGCCTTGAGTCTGAGTTTGGCCACCATTAAAGTACTTGCAACATTTATACAGCTTCCTCCATCGACTATCATAAAACAAACTTTGTTGTTTACATGACAAAGAGTGTGAAAAATGTTCTCTATTTTATTATCCTCCATGGATTGAATATTTAAAGCTATTTTCACTATCAAAACTTGTCCTAAAATTTGAGACATTGTTAGTAAACAAATAAAACAAAAGTAATCCTTACCAACACACTCACAAAGCCTCACAAGTTTCAATCCAAAGAAAATATAAGATCACTCCACTCAACACTCGTGTTTACTCTCGGGGAATATAACTTGGCTTTTAACATTTCCCCTTCTGATCTCACTCACTCAATTAGCCTTTTTCCACTCAATCTCTCTTGCTAAGTCCTTTGAAGAACTTACTCAAGATTAGAACAAGTTAATTCTCTTATTGTGTGCGTCGACTGCAAATAGGTTAGGGTAGAAAAGGAAAAGAAGAAATGGAAAGGGTAGAAGAAAGGATTCAAGGTATTTAAAATAAGGAAAAGGTTGAAGACAAGAAAAAACTGAAAATATAAAAAAGGAAGAGGTAACTTACAACCCAAGATACAACACTTACTACAACCTTTCACAAGAAACAATAAGGTTATCTTCTCTTATGTTGATATGCCTCTTTGATGTACTTACAACGGTAAAGCACTTTTCCTTGGCTTTTGGTTTTCTTTTGAAATTCTCTTTTTCTTCTTTTCTGATTTTTTTTCTTCTTTTTGTCTTTGAACTCCTTTGTTTGTTGTAGTAGTCTTTTCGTTTTCTTTTCTTTTTTCTTTTGCTTTTGTCTTTGTACGCCAATGACACTTTTGTTGTCAATCCAACTATACTCTGAATATTGTTTGATGTAGGTTGAATCTACACACTTTGATGGAAGTGAGTAAATAGCCTTATTGTGTCCCGATCTAGGATTGACAAGTACTGATGTCCTTGAATTATAAGTTTGGGCTGCAACAAAAATAAGAAAGAAATAAGATTAATAATGGACTTAAGAAATGGTTAAGTAATGAAAGTAATGAAATGGAAAGAAATGAAAGAGATGGCTGCGGAATTAGGAAGATGTTGATGGTCTTGATGGAAAATGTTGATGGTGTTGAAGTTGAAATGGAGATGGTGGTGATGTTGTATCTCAAGCACACCAAAGAAGAAACTATGATAAGAAGCACAATCCCGATCTTCACAAACTTGTTTGAGGGGTGATGAAAGTGTCTTCAACCCACTAGATAAAAATCTAGGAATTTAGGAATCAAGGTGGAAGAATTGACGCCACAAGTATAAGAAATTAAACTTGCTTAATCGATAAAGTTCACAACGAACTTTAAGGTGGGATTAAACTCACAAAAGTTTGTTTAAAATATGAATGAGATGCGTACAAATGATGGCAAGCCTCTTAATTTATAGGAAATGAGAGGGCTTGGCCAAATGGTTACATAGTGTTTCAGCTAGGTACATGTCTCTTAATGAAAATACAAAATTAATTGAATGAAGAGATATGTCCTTAAGCTTGGTGTTGGTTCGGGTAACCCTTCATAAAGGGTCTTGATGTTTCGGCAAAGGTGGGAAGACATCTCTTTTGGCCGAATGGTGCATGTTGGTTCATCTTGGCGCCAAAGACATCTCCTTTGGCCGAATGATGATGTGCCTCCTCAAGTTGGCGCCAAATCTCTCATGTGCAAGGCATGTGGTGTGGCTGAATAGTCATGGAGCTTCATCTCATGTCTCTTGGTTATTTAGGCCTCCAATGGATACAATCTCTTCACCAACGTGCTCCTAAGGGCATCTTCATGGGCAGCATCATTCATGAAATGTCACAATGTTTGGAAAGGTAACCTTTCATGTTTGAGCTAGTTCTAAGGTGAATGATCTGGAGGTGAGCTGGCCATAGGTGAGTTGTAGCATGGTGAACATTATGGCAGCTCCTTGTGAAAAGGTACCTCTTGAGGTGGCAACTATTCACAAAAAGGTACGATTTCACAAATTTTGACTTAGGACATATTTGAAGTGTCCTAAGTGGTAATGATGATGGTACATCTCCCTAGCTGAATTGAAGTGATCTTGTAGCTCAAATATTCAGCTCAATCCAGCTATGACCTCACGGGTCTCCGGACAACTTCTCACCAATTGTTCCTTATGCTCTCCTAAACGTCCCTATGTAAGTTTCCTTGTTGTTGCATGCTCTATTTAGCTCTAATATAGCTCCCAAGTTGTGGTCGCATGTTCCTATACACATAACATAAAGAATAAGTTAAGTACACTAACTATTATAAAGTAAAAATGTGCATATTATAAAGATGTGGACTATAGGTTATAATAATAACTCATGCATCATATAAAAATGAATGAATATTATTACTATAACTATAGATTATATGCATGAATATCAATCAATGAAGCAAACCATATGACATAATGAATGAATGCATATGTTATGATAATTCAAGTATAGTCTATTATGCAAATGTATGCTCATAATAATATATAGTGCCTAAATGAGTAAATATAATATAAAGTAAGGTAGAACTCCCTTATATTGAGCTTGATGGATCTTAAATGATGTGAGTATGTCATGAAGAAAGTTGGTGCTAGACAGGATCACACCATAACCCTTCCTTGACTGTAACCGACTCCGAATTCGACATATCTTTAGTAGGATCTTTGTCAGGTAAGAAATCGAGTTATCCAATCAACCCGTTTTTGTTCTTAAAATAAATGATCGGTGGCGACTCTAACCCACTATTTTATGTTGAAGCTCAATTCCGGACACAACTGAAAGACGGCTCTGACAAGGTGTTTTGGAAATATTTTCTAACAATATAATTCATTTTCCTGAATTCATTTTTGAGAAAATGTTTTCGAAACAAATAGACCCCAAAGTTTGAATCATTAACTTATTTTGTTTAGCTTAAATTTAGGATGAACAAGTTCAAATTAGACAAATCCAAATTGTAGATTTTATTAAAAAAACTTATTAATTAGTTAAGATTTGAAGAGTTTGAATCAAAATTGATATATCTAAACAATTAATCGTCATTTTTAGAAAACTCAAGAGAGGTTTGTTTACTCGAAAGAAAAACAATTGATATATTAATTTGGAAAATTGAGCAAAGCCAAATAGAAATGTTCCACTTCCGGGCCAAAAAAGAAAAATGTAAACAAAATGGTAACGTAATTAATTACAGTGAAAAAAAACAACAATTCGCCGTGTCGTATTAATCAAATACATAATCATGGTTGAGTAGTTTTCTATAAATGATTAATGAGCTGTTTCATGGCTTATAATCTTTTAAAATCTACCCGAGGATTTTTACTTTCTCTTCAAGACTAAGCCACTCTTTTTAAGTGGCAACACTTAATTCTTCGAATCATCCTTAATTCTTTCGAATCATCCATCCTCTCTAATGGACTCTTCCAATAGCTCCACTCTAAACACACACAGATTTCTGCTCAGAGATCATATCTCACCAGATTGCAATGACCATTCCAGAAATTTAAGATTCGACCGTATTGTTTTCGCAATCATGGTAGCGGCAATAAGTATCAGCACCATCTTTTTCATACTCTTCAAACGATTTTGCCGATCGGACAGCTCTTCGGAAGAGAATCCCACCATGTCGAGGCCGTCTATCGACAGCGAGCTCAAGCAGATTCCCGTCCTCGTATATGGAGAATTGACGGCGTCTTGCTCCGTCGCTGTTTTGGAGGTGGAAAGCTGCGCAATATGCTTGGAAGAGTATGTGAAGGGAGAAAAGGTGAGGGTGTTGCCGAGGTGTAAGCACATGTTCCATAAGGAGTGTATTGAAGAATGGCTTGAGGTTCCGTCTTTGCATTGTCCGATTTGTAGGGATCGGGTGCTGGAGCATTGTCTGCAATCGGCGAGGACTAATAATTGCAGGACTCAAAGGCATTATAGTGATAATCAACTGCAGTTATTGGCTCTCTATGGTACTGGTATACGTAATACATATGTCTAATTCTTTTCTTTTGTTCTTTTTTTTTTTTTGACCGGGATGATAATGGATTCTTCGTGTATCGAATTACATAGAATATTAATTAATTTTTTTATTAGTTTGGGGTGATTATAAAACAATATATGTGTGAAAAATTTTCAATTATTTGACAATAATCATTCAAACACTTACAAACATTGTATTCAAATTTATAATCTATAAAAATAACAATTATCATTTAACCACTTAGATCCCGAGTTTGGGCGTATTAGTTAAAAACTTAAATACAATATAGTTGTCACATTGATTTCTAAAATCAACACTTTATTTTAAAATATTTAAAATTTGTTTAAAAAGATATAATAGTGACTTATAACGCATTTTTATTAAAAAAATTAGTAAAATAACACCCAACATGAATTATTTAGAAAAATATCCCCCTAAATTGCTCTCATAAGACTACTTTGCATCCTACAAAATGCATAAAAGAACCTCGCATTGTATAGGCCTCGAGACCCGTCTGACGTGGAAGCACTTTTCAGATAACACAGTTTAATATTTATATAAACGACCTCGCGTTCTGCAAAACGCGAGGTCCACGAGAAATTGAACCGTATGAGTAATTTATCACGGTCTGTATTTTTTGACCTCATGTTTTGTGCATGATCTTATCTTTCAGTTGAGGTCAATATTGACACATACGAGATACTATAAGCGGGTTAAAAATCGCATTGAAAATGATTCAAAAGCTTGTTTTGTGCATGAAGAAAAAACTAAAATGGTTGGATAAACATATGCAATGGGTATTTTCGGATAGTTAATCTGCAAATTTTATTAATTTATAAGATTAGAGGAGTAATATTATAACCTATCTTTCAATTGAGGGTAATATCGGCACATATGAGACATTGAAAACGACGTAAAAAATTGCGTTGAAAATGGTTCAAAAGCTTGGTTTTTTGCATAAAGAAAAAGTTAAAATGATTTGATAGGCATGTTCAAGGAGTATTTTTAATCTAAAAGTTTTCGTAATTTATAAGATTAAAGGCGTTTCAATTGAGGCTAGTATTGAAAAATACGAGACATTATAAGCGATGTAAAAATCGCATTGAAAATAGTTTAAAAATAAAAGAAATTGAAAACTAACAAATATGTTTTGTTAATTACAAAAGTAGAAAAATTAAAAAGCATAATTAATAGATACGAGAACGTGACGATTAGGAAATTTGTTATTCATGTGTCCGGGATTTCTATAGATGGTTCATACTTTCGGTTGTCTAGTTATTTCTCAATGTTCGACCAAATCCTCGTAACAGTAAATCTGCTTTGATCGTGGACGACACTTTTTTGCGCGTCGTAGTGCAAAATATGGTTGTATTATATGTTCATCATCAACTTCATCTGGATCTCATTCATTTTCAATGGGAGGAAATTCGTATTGATAAACCTTGAATATGTACGTGTTTAGGTAATTATACCAGATCAATGAATGTCATGTAGTGAATCCATACAGAAGAGCAAGCAACAATGACGTACGCAAACGAGTATTTGAATGTTTGAAATACTCCACAGTTGTAGGTTCTTTCTCGTAAATTAACCAAGCATGTGTTGTGTTGTATGCCTTCCAATTGCCTCCAATATTCCAAAACACGGAATTTATTTTGTTCGCGAGAGATACATGCCGCATTCATTGCATTTGAATGCTACATAAATGTTCATCAATTTTTTAGGAGGTCTGGGTGGACTATGTGTCCACTTTCCATTCAATCAACTGCTTGTTTTTCCAATGTTCCAAAAAAGAATGTCAACCGATAATATGTTGCTTTGACAACAAAAGTGATAGGTAAATGTCGGACTCCCTTCAGTGATAAATTGATCACTTCATCCAAGTTTCTTATCATATGATCATATCGTCTACCCCCATCAAATGCTCGAAGCCATTTCTCCCTTGAGATTTTAGCAAGGTATTTATAGGCTTGTTGATTCATGTTTCTCAATTCTTGAAGCAACCCCTCAACCTCACGTACATAATGCGTGTGGCCTATCCATTAAAAATGCCATAATTAACTAAAAATAATAAATGAAAAGGTATTTTAAATCCAAAAGAATGAAAGTTGTACCCTTTCGAAGCATCATTACACGTTCATCTTTAGTCTTAAACTTTTGCAAATAATTTGCAGCAATGTGGCATAATCAGTACTGGTGATGAATATAGGGTGGTTGTCGAGACTGGCCCATATCTTGGATTGCGTATTTAATCCATTGCCTCTTTCAGAAATAAGACATATCTCATCATCTCTATCACGAAATATATGTGATAGAACATGTCTTCATAAGTTCTTAAGGAAGGATTTTCAAGAGTTTATATTTTCCTCTTCGATTATTGCGAATGCGATGGGAATAATTTTTTTATAATTATCTTGTACAATCGCCAATAACAATTTTTTTGTGTATTTATCATACAACAAAGTGCCATCGATCTGAACTATCGGATTGTAGTAAGAGAATGCATTAGCACAGAGTTTGTGCTGACGTGGCAGAGATTCTTGAACTAGGTCATTTGATATAAATAAATAATAATTTTTTGTTCTAAAAAATAAATAATAGTTTTAAAATTTTGAAACCATTACTAAATTTTCACTTATTACTATAATTTTTGTTCTATTAGCTAAACATATTTTTGACATGTTCGATTAATTCAACATATTTTTTTCATTAATAGAAAAAGTATGAAGCATTGAATATTTTTCATTTCAACTTAAAAAAAACTAATGATGTTTATATCTACTGTGTCGCACGATGGTGGACGACGATCTCGATGCGAATTCCTATGAACCAATATATCGTTATCATTGCCATCTATATGTGGAGTATCAATGTTCGCACTAGGACTAAAACTGGTATAAAATATGCTCTACAACAACGTCTACAAAATAATATTGGATCCAAAGTCTATTACTAATGGTGGAAATTGAAATACCGATGGTGAAATAGATGTAGACAGAAATGAAAGATAATGTGGTTGAACAAGAACAAAAAGACTATATGAAGGGGTAAGCGACATATAGGGACAAAATACGTCGATAAAAAAACCTTCTGTCGGAGGTCTTATTTACTAAAATAATGATTAACTCCCTATATGGTAAAATGATGAATGAGTTGAGTGGGTCAATAATGGTGGTTGCACGGTGTCTAAGGCTCTGCTACTAACGTTGCATGTGCCTATATTGTTTCTATGACGAGAGTGGAGCGTGTTTTCATCTTTAGCTTTATTCACCTTCGCTTCTACCACCACGTTGCGTTGATAGAAGTTGCATCAGTGGGCCATTTGAGGAGCCATATATATTTCTCTTGGTCACTCCTCTTGGTTCAGTATATGCGACTTCCCATTTTGTTTGTACCACATCATGTAATCATATGCATGTAACACCCTAAACCTGGTTGGCCTAAAGTGCCACACTGGACTGCCTAGACAACCTATGATTTCCAAAAGCATACCATTTTCATTTCAAAACATACTACATGGTATCAAAACAAACATGCATGACAGTTATAAAAAATATTTTATAAACCAGAGATCCATGACAAATTGCTTAAAATAAAAAAATAATACAAACTTAGAATCCGTTAAACCAAATAGATAAGTAGGTTCTATGAATACATATGCACACTAAAGTTACAGTACAATAATATGAGGAAGATACTGGAAGTCTTGCTGTGACGACGCTCTTCGAACTGTTCAAGCTAATGACCTACGAACAGAAAACATCCAAACTCTGAGCTTACAAAGCCTAGTACTATAATCACTCATCTAAAGCAACATTATAAGTCCCATAAGCATAAGCATGCTAAAGACATGGTATTAAGTAGTAGGTACATGCATGATCTTAACCAACTGCTACCTACTTAAGGTTTTACTGTTCTATCGCAGAAGTAGGTGTCCTATACTTCCCTTCATCCTTTGCTAAGAGTGTTGTAATGATTACACCTCTATTGGTCTCTACCTACACTAACTATAATTGATTTACATTATCTAAATGTGACACTGACACTATTGTGCATTATCTAAATGCAACACTGACTCTATTATGCTAAAGCTTTAGGGAGTTATTTAGGGTAATAAAGAGTAGCACATCCTTTACATCAAAAACTTCATCTAATTATGAAATCAAGCATAAACCCTAAAATGCTCAAATACTCAAATCTTAACAGATCATAATGTTTATGAAAGTCTTAACACCACAAAAATTGGAAATGTATTACCTTGATGTTAGAAACCCAAAATTAAGCTTCTTTCTCGACGAACTTTATTTTCTCCCATTCTTCTTGAACTAAAATGATTTCTACCCCCTTTCTCTTTAGTTATGGTACTTGGAGAGGAAGAAGAAAAAAATGAGAATAAAGAAAAAGTAAGGGAAGAAGATAAAGAGATATATAAAAGCTCTTATCTTTTTATATGGGATAATTATGTTTTTGGTCATTTTTCATTTTTTTTACTATGAAAAAATCTCATTTTTATGGTTAATTTGACAATTCTCAACCGATTAAGCCCTCACTCGGCCTAACAACTTCAATCATGAAATCTTCGGGGCCCATATACCTCTCGGTAAACCCGAAACTACTAGCTCGAAATTTGGGGTGCTATAACTCTCTCATCTTTGAAAGAAATTTCGTCTTCAAAATTTACTTGGATTGATTAACAACATATTCTTAGCTCACACACTTTGAAGCCTCGAAGCACCAAAAGTCTTACCAAGTCTGATCCTTAGGGAAGAAATCCTCACAACATGATATGCAACTTGAGAGCTCAAAAAATCAATCTACGATTTCTAAGGGTGCTACTTGAATCGAACCTTAAACAAACTTCGAGATACCTAAAGTAAAAAATCATATTCTTGTTGTCTAACATTGAATGCTCGGAATATTTCACATGGAAAATACTACTCCATGATTCAACAACTATCACTAAACTGCTCATTGGCTAACTCTACTTAATTAAGT